GTCTCCAAGCTGAATCAAAATTCATCCAAATGGCTCAAAATTTGTCAAAAGTGACCAAAAAAATGTCCAAAGTAGCTCATAATTCATCCAAATTAGAGATGTCTGATATTGACTCTTTCACCAACACTGATATTGTCCGACTCTTAATTCTGATATCAACCGACATATGTTTGTTGCTGCAGCCGCACTTGTTCACACGCTTCATGATGCAGTTTGATGTTATCTTCATTTGAGCGCCGGTAAATGCCGGCGAAATCCAGGCATTATTTTATTGGTTTTCATTAAAGGAAAAAACAATCTGATAACGACATTGACAGATATCACATTTCTATGCCAATATCAGGCCGATATTATCGGACATCCAGATGGTTAAAACTTCGTCCGAAATGGCTCAAAATTGGTCAAGAATGACTCTAACGTGACTAAAACCTGATCATGATGACTCAAAATTTGTCCACAATGAAAAAACTACACGCCCAGAACAACTCAAAGCTACTCCAAACGGCTGAACATTTGTCCTAAATGGCTTAAAATCTGTTGAAAATAACTCACAAACTGTCCAACATGACAAAAAAAACCCTATGTTGACTCAACATGTGTCTATCATAACTCAAAACTGATCCATATGAAAAATATGTCAAAAAATAACTCAAAGTTAGTCTAAAATGACCTAAAATTTCTCCAATATGAGAATAACTTCTCCAGAATCAGTCAAAATCTGTTTAAAATACATTAAAATTGATGGAAATAGCTGAAGATTTATGTAAAACAATGACTCAAAATTTGTTCAACATGAAAATAAATTGTTCAAAATAAGTTAAAATGAGTTCAAATGATTAAAAATGTGTCCAAAATAACTCAAAATTCATCCAAATGGTTGAAAATTTGTCCAAAAAGGCTCAAAAATGGACAAAAATGTAAATTTGTGCAAAGTAACAACATTTGAGTTCAAACAGCTCAGATTTAGTCCAAATCTCTGAACATTGGTCCAGAATGACTCAGAACTTGTACAACAACAAACAAAGCTCGTCCTATTTAGCATGTCTGCTTTGCTGCAGGTCACAGCATCTATGGGACGACGTTTGCGGATGAAAACTTCCGGCTGAAGCATCTCGGAGCCAGCTGGGTGAGAACAAACAGGTTTCTGTTTTTTATGTTATTTATGAGCCTGAGTTCAGTTTTAGGAGCTAAACGGTGGAGAACAGCAGCTCCAGGAGGCTCTGATGTGAGACTGAAGTAAACCGAGCGATGCCTAAAGTCCAGGTTGTGTGTTTGTGTGTTTGTGTACCAGGTGAGCATGGCCAACGCCGGTCCGGACACCAACGGCTCCCAGTTCTTCATCCTGGCCGCTAAAGCTCCGTGGCTCGACGGGAAACACGTGGTTTTTGGAAAAGTCCTGGACGGGATGGTGGGTGGAACCGCCGACATCCTCCACGGAGCNTACTTTTCCGTCGGTACTAAACGCCTCTCTGTCTCCGTCCAGGTGTTTTTCGACATCACGGTGGCGGGTCACGAGGTCGGCCGAATCGTCATCGGCCTGTTCGGCGAGGTCGTCCCTCTCACTGTCAATAACTTCGTCGCCCTGGCAACCGGAGAGGTAGGCTGTACGCACGCACACACACACACACACACACACACACACACACACACACACACACACACACACACACACACAGAGAACAGAAACAATCTGATGTTTGTGCTAATCCAACAGAACACCAGTGGTTCTGATGTTCAACATTCAGATCATTAAACCAGATTTCCTCCATCTTGCTTTAAGCAGCACATGTTCCATGTTTCACACGTCAGAAGCATGTTTTTCCATCTTATTGTTCAACCAGACGTTATTAAAACGCCGGCGTGTTCTGCAGACGACTACATCACAGTTTCATTCCTCCAGGAGAACGTCGGCAGAGATGCAGACGAGGCGTCGTTTCAAACATGAATGTGTTGTTTTTAAATGAGGATTAAGACCAGGAGACTCATACTGGTCTGATCCACTGGTTGGTTTCCATGTGTTCCCTTTGATTTAAAACTCGTCCACGGTGACAGAAACCTGCTGAACATGACTCAGTGTGTCCAGTGTGACGAGAACTTCTCCAGGATTGTTTAAAATTTCTACAAAATGCCTCAAAGCTGTGACAAACCCTGATTTATACTCAGTCCAGCGTGACTTGAAACCTGCCTGAAGGGAAAAATAAATGTCCAAAAATTAAACCCAAATGGATGAAAATGTGTCCAAATGAACAACAACACCAATAGAAGCCCGTCCTGTTTGGCCCGATACACGAAACGCCACATCAGTTAGCTTCTATGAACATAATGCGACTGTTGTGTCTCTGCAGAAAGGTTACGGCTACAAAGGCACCAAGTTCCACCGAGTCATCAAGGACTTCATGATCCAGGGAGGAGACTTCACGGCCGGAGACGGGACCGGAGGTGGGAACAGAACCTCTGAATTCAGAGCGTGAGAACGTCCACAGAAACTAGAATCCGCTGTCGGTTTCTATCCTCGGTGTGCTCCAGACACACTGAAGTACAACGTTAGACACTTCTTCTG